ATTTCAACAAGGTTTTGTCATCATCATTGTACCTGATGACGACAAAACCTTGTTGAAATGTTGTACATTTGCTGTTATGTTAAACTTATATTAAAGTTTTTCTTCACCTATTCAAGCCGTCTCCAAGCATTATAAATTTTACATCAAACAGAAACAGGGAAATTAAAGAAGCTTACTGGATAGCACTGTTAAATACTGTAACGCTGAATGGCATCAATCTCCATCCTGGGATTGTTGACCTTCAAGCGCCTCTAACAAATTCCGAATAATTGTCATTAAGCTTGTAAAGTTTTATTATTATTATTATTCACATTTTTATTCATGCTTCTATTTCTCTACATTATTATTTCAGGTATCAATTTACATTATTATTTTCTCAAGCTCTCATCTTCCTATGTATTTATTTTTCTCTGTCAGTCAAAAGTTTCATACATAATGAAAATTAATTATAATTTTTTGTTTTTTTCTCTCTACAAATGAATTCTCCCTTCCGAGAGACTAACTGCTTGAGTTGGGATTGGCTGGTCACCAGATTCAACTCAACTGGGACTTCCAGTTTACATGACATCACACGTCCTAATATATATTGCATTGTGCAAGCTAAAGGTCACCCTTTGTTCTCCTGAAGAAGAATAGTCAACTAATCGAAAGAGCTCGAGTTTTGGGTCTTATTTTAAGTTTATTACACTTTATATGTGATCCTTTGTGCTAATTCATATATCAAGATGGTCATGTCAGGGTAGGCATAAATATAGTGTAACTAAGAGCCTAGGACTTGCGTACAAGGAAAACCAAGTTGAGTCAAAACATGTCTTGATTATTACAAACTTATGAGGTCAGTTGAATTGACTGACCTTGTAACCATTTTGTACTCATGCATTTTACAGTGTAACATTCAATTTTAATATTGAAAGTACTATAGGGATGACCAATGTATAGCTGTATCATCCCAATATTCTTGTTTGCATTCCTTTTTGCTCTGTCAACTCGACATCATTTTACGTTTACAAAATGTTTTTTATTACATCTTTATGTATACAAGTATTAAAAAATGATCTTTAAATGTTGTTGTGTTTTTTTTTTTATGTTAACCATATTGGATTCCAATAAGATGCACCCATTGCTAGAGGGCAAAATTGGGCAATTGAATTGAAAATAAACTTGGAGTTGTTTATCCACAGTTTTTTTGAAAAATACCTTGAAGTTAAAATTTATTAAATATAGAAATATATTAGAAATTTATTAAATAGAAATTGCAAATTTTGTTGTTTTTTTATTTCAGCAATGCTATAAATGAAAATATTTGGGATTGCAAGTTTACTGAATTTTTGTTTTGACATAATATGGATATCATAGCTCCTAGAAGGAAAACTGAGATAGCTTTGAACAAATGGCATCAGTTTCATTTCAAACTTATAACTTCAGTGCAATTGTAGTATTATCAGTTTTAGCCAATCTCATTTTTGCAACATTAGTGATCATGGTTTAACATAAACTGCCTTTATCACAGCTTTAAGGTGTCATAGGCTAATGTGGCTTCCAGTTCAGCTATAATTTGCATAGAGATTGCAAAAAATTGATAAAAGCTTAACTTTTAAATGTTTCTAGAAGAAAATTTATTTGTGAACAACCTCAAATTAAAAGAAGAAAGAACGAAAGAACATAGTACAAAAACATGCACAAAATCAGACAATGTTCTATAACCATCACAATTTTTCTA